ATACTGGTAATCACAATGTGATAGGAAACAATTTTAATCCTAAGTAAAGTTGTAAGGAAAGGCTCTGTTTGAGTTCCTGTTGCATAACTTTCACGCAATGAATGGTTAACGCGAACGGGTGCTTTTTTCGAAAGTCTGGTTACTATCAGAATTTTACTATCATTCACAAATAATAAGATAAATGAAACCCTTGTTTATTGAGTATGCGTAGTGGCGCGTTCGCTGAAGCAAGTGCAACTTGGAGGTCAGGACCCAGTAAACCAATAGTATCAATAATAGCGTAAGTTACACGAGTAACTGCACGTATCACCAAAAAATATTTCAGGCCAATATTACATTCATCTCCAAAACTGTATCATAAAGGTGACATCCTCGCCATTTTAGGGTAAAGTACTCTCATTCCTAATTAGTTTCACAGTTTTTTTTTCTATCATTCCAGTATCCCTGCTACCTAAAGGAACATCGTGTAATCAGAAGGGTTGACCCTGCAAATGAACTTCCTTTAGCAATCGCGTAGCCGCGCATGTACAGTGCCATTCGCTGGGGATTTATCTGTATAATCACGTGCGAATAGCTAATAAAAAAGCCTTTTGAAAAAGGAAAGGTAACATTTGTTTGCAGTGTGTAGGACATGCAGATTATTGAATCTTTAGGGTGGGTGATCTGGGTGCCTCAACACAAACAAGCGAACAAGCAAAGCAACAAAAGTGTCACCGTAGACTGTAGAACGCAAAGACCCCTACCTAAAATTTGAGACCAGGATTCTCAAAATTTTGCGATATAATTTGATATTATCATCACTTTCTCAGATTATCGTAAGAGGGAAATGTTGAGTTATATTTGCAGTGTTCGCTCTCGCGTTCATCTTTTCAATAAATCAATTTTTACATCGCAATATCTGAAGGAACAGCGAACTGGCTGCGGTCGCTCATCATGATAACTCAAAGCTATTTTGCTGTGAAGCGCTGTTTGAAAATAGTTTTCAAACCTAAAAGTTTAACATCTATGTGAGGTTAATATTTATTGTATTATCTTTGTCAAACGACAGTTAATCAGTATTATTGTAAAACTATATTTTTCCTTTCCTTCCATCGGGGACAATAAGCATTTTGGAAATTTGTGCCCACTGGGAGACAATAACAAAATTTGTGCCCACGGGGAGACAATAACAAAGGACTAGGAACTGTTGCAATGGACCATGTATTATTAATGATGGTACACATGGCTACTGTGCGCACCACGTTAGGCATGATAAACTCCTCACCGCTTTTAAGTTTGCATGGTGCACGTGCACTACGATACGTCTTGATAGTAATATGGCCTCATTGCGAACTCTAAGAGGTGGTTCCGCTGTCGTTGTTCCTCACGGATTGTGTGCCGCGAAACTGAATTTCAACCAATAAGTAAATCCACCATGTACTGGAAGTTCATTAGGCCATACAAAGGAAATCATTGCGGAGTCTAGAAAATACTGTAACTGAGGGTGCGGATGGTTTTGAAGATTTTTTTCCGAATTGTAGACGAACGAGAACGCACAAGAGCAGAGCTTTTGTACAGCGTCGGTAACGCCGTCAATGCCACATTGAAACCTTGCACTGGATCTTGGACATTTCTTCTCGTTGATCTGAAGTTCTGTATTTCTATGTTCCCATCAAGCACAAGCGCAGCTGATAGCCTGGGAGAACTAGGCTAGAATTCTGAGCAAAAATTACCTTATCACTGCCTTATTTAGATGGGAAAAGCACACAATTGATTTACGTGACTGAGTCACTAGTCACGGTGAACTTCAGAATGTGCTGTTATAGATTACGCAAGTCCCTCCTTTGGGGCGAAGTCCGTCGCGCGAGTAAAATAAAATTCATGGCTGAAAAGAGAAAAAAGATGTTAGCGCGCTGCTAGGAGCTCTTAGAGTGAGGCACTAACATAAATTTGACTTTTTTCGACCCGCGCCACGGACTTCGCCGAAAAGGAGGAACTGCTCGTAGTCGTAATGCTGTTATCGCTGGTTACACTTAATAAAATCCTGGCCCCGGTTGTTCGAAGATCAGATAACGCTATCCACTGAATAAATTTCTGTCTGGTGGATGACGCTATACGTTTTGCTGTCACATATCCGCTGGATAGCAAATTATCCGTTTGATAGCGTTATCCACCCTTTATGTAAATGGGCCCTGTAGTTTGGTTCTGAAATGTTCTTACATGTTTGAATAGCCTAAGCTCTCTAAACTCAAATATAAAAGAACAGAAAACCAATTTTTGTTCAAAAGTTTCTCATTAACACGTTGACCGAACGCTAATCAATCTGATAGTCGACCCGTCTTGTTCACCTTTTTCGTCACGAGACAGAATCATTTACCAGAATTTAGCCGTTTGAAATGTTTAAAGAATCAATCGGTGTATTCTAAAAGCTCTACTCTACTATATTTTCTTTTTAAAGTGTTTAAAATCTAAGATTTATAAAGCCACCGATATACACAGTGGCAGTTTGCTCAACAGACTAATTTGCACAATTCTACTGTCACGCTTGTAAAATCACCTAGTTTGAAGTCACTAAGGCGAAGGAAATTAATAAGTGAAAGACATTTTCACATTTCTATGCTTTCTAACATGTTATTAGAAGAAATCAACCCAAGTTCTGAATGAATAAAGGGGGTGAGTTTCTAACGAAACTGTGGTCCTGCGTCGGTGGGAGAGTATAATGAGCAAGTAATTTCGTGTTAACGACTGAGTTGAAAACGTAAATTGGCCAGCATAAAGAGTTTAAAGGCTGACGTGAGCGTCAGAGCGATCGAGTTTCGAATGGTCTGATATGGACTTGAGAAATATCATCCAAGAAAGAAAGAGCGCTTTTGACTAACTTCAGAAAGCTGTCTAACGGGTTTTTTTTAATCAATTATAGCGAACCTCTGAATAAACACATATCAAATTTGAAATGCTTTCCAAATCCCCCATATATCACACAATTTAGGAATACAAACGATTTCTTTCTGCATGTGGCGTATTGCGAGGAGCGAGCTTGTCAAATTTTTGAAAGTTTCGATGTCGCCAGAGGTCAAAAAAGGGCCTTTTGCAGCTTTGATTATTGAGAGCTCTCAAAAATGTTTGTAACGTATATCAAGAAACCAATGTGGTTTTATTTACTTACTACCAAAGATAATTTAATGGACAAAACTTTTTTCCAATGCGAAACATCTTGGACCGCTAAAGATCGGCCCTTAGTTTCAATTTTTCTTATAAGAGGACAATTTCAGTGAATGGGAACATCTATCAACACCAGTGTTATTTTCAGTAATGTAAAGAGATAACCTGGGTGATACGTTAAACGAGCGGCTTTATTTTACTTACTCATAGTCTTACAATCATCATTAGGTATTTATTCCGTCAACAAGTAAGTACAGGCCTCGCGTCGAAAGCATCGCCATCACTTCCTTTATTTTACACGGTTTGATAACAAATTAGATGTGAGCAGGAGTACACAGATTTTACCAGATCACATTCAGAATTTATCTTTCTCCTTAATCACCTTGAGATGGTCTTTTCGCTTTCTTGTAGCTTAAGCTGTGTTTGAGTTGGAGATCAACACAGATGACTTAGTATAAGTTTATGTGTAGCTAATTGTAATTATGCTTCCGTCATGCCCAAGTTAATCATTACAGCGTTATTCGTCAACGCGAGTAGCATGCGAACAGCAACATTTAATCAACAAAATCTCTACGTAACAACAAAGTCTGTAATAATTAAATTGGTCACTTACTAGTCGATAATTTTTCTCACAATTGTTTTGGGATTTTGAAACTAATTTGAAGAAAATTTGAAACTTTTTCCTTTTATCATCGATTCGGCACCTTATGTTTCCCTTAGCTAAAAGCTGCACTCGTTTTTTTCTTTTGATACAGAAATTTCTAAGATCTAATTTTATCATTTTTTCCGTTTTCGTTTGCCGTTATTTGAGCAGTGGTCATCCTCATTGTTGTTGGAGTCCATTTCGATTTGAACCAAGCCAACTGCCAACTTTATTTCTACCCAATTCATTGACTAGCTCCCAGTTGGCTTGTTAGCTCAATTGGTAGAGCTCTGCACCGGTATCGCAGAGGTCATGGGTTCAAATCCCGTACAGGCCTGAATTTTTTTCAGGTCCTATTTACAACTACTAGTTCCAGTAGTGTTCTTAGCTGCGAGGATCTTCTAATTTCATCTCTCCACCGCAGTGCAAATATGTGAATTTTCATATATCTAAATTCTTCATTCACTTGGATGTTTATTTGTACCCAATTCATTGACCAGCTCCCAGTTGGCTTGTTAGCTCAATTGGTAGAGCTCTGCACCGGTATCGCAGAGGTCATGGGTTCAAATCCCGTACGGGCCTGAATTTTTTTCAGGTCCTATTTACAACTACTAGTTTCAGTAGTGTTCTTAGCTGCGAGGATCTTCTAATTTCATCTCTCCACCGCAGTGCAAATATGTGAATTTTCATATATCTAAATTCTTCATTCACTTGGATGTTTATTTGTACCCAATTCATTGACCAGCTCCCAGTTGGCTTGTTAGCTCAATTGGTAGAGCTCTGCACCGGTATCGCAGAGGTCATGGGTTCAAATCCCGTACGGGCCTGAATTTTTTTCAGGTCCTATTTACAACTACTAGTTTCAGTAGTGTTCTTAGCTGCGAGGATCTTCTAATTTCATCTCCCCACCGCAGTGCAAATATGTGAATTTTCATATATCTAAATTCTTCATTCACTTAGATGTTTATTTGTACCCAATTCATTGACCAGCTCCCAGTTGGCTTGTTAGCTCAATTGGTAGAGCTCTGCACCGGTATCGCAGAGGTCATGGGTTCAAATCCCGTACGGGCCTGAAATTTCTTTCAGGTCCTATTTACAACTAATAGTTTCAGTAGTGTTCTTAGCTGCGAGGATCTTCTAATTTCATCTCTCCACCGCAGTGCAAATATGTGAGTATTATGGTATTTTTCGAAGTGTCCTATTTGCCTTCTTCATCTTATCTACATCGCCAGACACAAATTAGCACCCTGTAGTAAATCCACCTGTATCCATCCCATCTCCATCGTCCAACATAGTAGTAGACCTTGTAACAGTTTCGTATTGTTTGTCGTCTGAATCTCTTTCCAACTGCAAAAATGAAAAAAGTCAGTGTATTATGCTGCGCATCCTTAAAGCGCATAGGTTCATGCAAGGCAAGAGCCTGTGCACATTCATAACCAACTTCTCTTACTCTCTAAGCCGGGGCTTACTTAGTGATGATAACTATGAGTTAAAACAAAAACACTTTATGTCAAACCATGCTGTCCCCGCGGAACCCAAAGACGATCGTAAATAAAGGGGGTAAGTTTCTAAAGAAACTGAAACATTCGCTCTGACGAGGGGCTAACGCTTGAAACGTCAGCTTTGAAACATTTTACGGCGGCCAATTTACGATATCAACTCAGTTGATAATATTAAATTAGCCTACGATCGTAAACAGCCCGTTTACGGCGTTGCATTGTGATAAACAATACTTTCTAGCACATAATAATGAATCATTAAATGGGATGTTTTAGAGCAAACTGGATACTTATTGAAGTTAGTGAAAAGTGTTCAATGTCAGGGGTTTACTTGAACCGAAACCCTCGACTTATAAGGAGAAATATCAGAGCTTTGAAAGAAATGTAAGACTTCCAAACTCATCAAATATACTGACGAGATTTCTGATTGGAAAGGTTTGGAGACCACTATTTTTTGAGGTACCGTTCGCTTAGCTTCTCTCTTAACGTACCAACTACTGAAGTTAAAGGCTCTATGATAAGGTTTGACAGCAGACAAACGATTTTTGAAAGCACCTGAGACTTGACTGAGAGTATTTGACACTTGACATCGCAACCACGTCGAGCGTAAGGTAAAAGCTATCAAATACCTTGAACGTTTTCTTTTTCCACGCTCATAGAAACCTTCCTCCTCCTGATGCGATAAATGGGAAATTTGGCACACATTGCAGCCATTTCATCACTTAGAGTGGAGCGATCATTCACAGTGCCAACAACTTCGTAATTGTCTTCAGTAGTATTAACAGATTGTGAGGAACCTGAAGCGCTTTGCTGGAAAAGGAATTCAGAAATGAAATGAGTTGCACCCCATCAAATATCTATTTTAATTTTTACTCATGTATCAAGAAAAGCGGATCAGCTTAGATTACAGCAGGCTTTGTTAAACGATTAACAATGACCGTATATGGCTACTTTGGAACAATGGCGGAAACAGCTTCAAAATACATGCGGGATTTTTCAAAATTTCCTATCATTATACGAGCGGCAGATTTAAACCACCGGCAAAACTGACGATAAAACAAATCCTCCCCGTGGGGGTGATTCTGGTAGATTTTTTGGGATGCAAATAGTCACGGTGGAGTGGATGGTGGGGCGACTGTAGCTTTCGTATCTGAAGTAAAGAGATGTCACTGTTTTTACCTTTATATTTCTGAAAACTAGCGAAAGATATATTCAATTAGAGGCTCACTGTGCGATACAAACGTAATGAAAGCATGTGTAACCTGGTATTAACGTCCGAAGCCTACCACGCCGTTGAATCATGTAGAAGGCTACCGTCATTTGCTCGATTGTTTAATGTGCGTGTATTTAAATTTCGCGCTGCGTGAATAAGATTTTGTTCCTGATGTGCAAAAAAAGCTTAAGGTTCACATTCTTCTTCCTCTAGCGTATGATTTAAACCTGGTAACAACGTCCGAAGCCTCGCGCGTCGTTAATTCATGTAGTTTCATGGGTATCATTCTCTTTCCGTTATTCAATTCAACGAAAGGAGTTAAAAAAACAATGGCGAGTGGAAATAGTCGCATACGCTCGTCAATTTCTCCCATTTGACTCGACTGTTCAATCCGAGTATATTTAAATTTCGCGCTTCGTAAGCACGAAAAACTGAATAATCTCCTCCCACAATTTTTTTGTTTACACAGGCCGACATCTGCTAGGTACCTATTCATCCTTTTGTGTGAGAGCAGGAGGTGAGATTTTTTTCGCACAGTCATGTTCTGCTAGTTTTCTTTTTTTTTTTTGCTCAACAGGTTACTTGTATTCAATCACGTCACTGACGCTGTCAGATTCGTCTACCAAATTATTGGGAAATCAAATTTCGCACTACGAAAGTTATCCTATTTTCCTACTATGATCATGATCATGATCTTGCTTAAGATTATAGGTTATAATGGAGCTAAGACTATGATCGAAGCCCTCGGTTGTTTTGATGACTAATTCATTTTCCACGAGCACTACAAAAAGACAAAACTGGGGTATGACATTATAAAAAGACGTTATTTTTATACTAGAGCTTATTGATTAGCCTGAGCCGGAAGAAGGTCGATAGTCCTTTCGACCATAAATGTGTCAGTTATGACATTTAATTAGACAAAAGCCAAAAAAAAAAGCGTTCTGAGTACATACCACCTATAAAACTGATATTTTACTGCAAACGATAATTTCAAGGAAACAGAAATGCATCAAAAAACGAAGGCTCTATCATGATCTTCACCGCAAAGTTAGAGCATCGATCTTTGCTCTCAAACAAAGAGAGGAAAGTTACCTTGTCAAGTGCATTTTTGAGGTCTTGAGGCTTTGGAGCGTTTTCAGTGGATTCACTCAAGAAACAGGCTTTGTGTTCAGGCATTCGGCGCATGACCAAGTTCTGTGCGAAAAACACCAGCAAGTAAATGAGTAGACAGTGACTATAAATTTTGAATAGTAAAATATCCATTTGAAAATCTTAACTTTTAAACCGCTCTTGGTTAGCTCTTGTTAATTTTAGAGCGTCGTACTACCATGCGGGAGATCGAGGGTTCAAGACCCCGAAACGAACAATACCCAGGGTCTAAAAAATAACCGAGGAGAATGGAGACCGGACTAACACTAAGCGTCTTAAAAATAACCGAGGAGAACGGAGGGGAGGGCTGCCTTTGCTATGCATATTTACTTTGCTATGCTAATTTATTTACTCTTTTAAAGTCATAGACTTCGTCCACTTCTCCTGCGCTGGAAGATTTCGTTTTTGGAATGTGATAAGTCTCGGTTTGTTTCTCGGTGTCGATTTTGATTTCTTGTTCATACTCTTCGTCACCATCTTTGACTTTGACTTTGTACTTGGACGAAGTTTCCTGTGGAACAAAAGATTATATAATATTTGCGTTTATGTTGCTATTGTTCTGGTCTCATTCACATAGACTTTAGTATTTAAAGGAACATGGTCTGAACGCGTTTAACGGCTTTATATCGGCATACAATTTCAGCTTAGGGCCGCACAAAAAAATTCTCTCAGCATTGAACGGGAACGACTAAGTCTCTGGAACTTGTATCGCAAAAAAAGACTGATGTTTAAAAGTATACGACGGGAGACTGCAAAGCTGAAGATTGATATATGATAACACTAATTAATGTCTATTTTTACTTTTACCTTAGCTTCATCTTCGCATTTACAAGTGGGTGCTGCAGATGTGGCAGCCATGAATAAGGCAAAGAAAAGGAGGAACACCTTCCACTCCTAATAATATAAAATAAAAAAAGCATTAGTTAGAAATCTATCATTTTTACGCTGTATAAGTAAGTCTTTAAAGGAGAGCCCCGTCCCTTCTCACAAGTCGCTGCATCGTCTATGCACTTCTTTTTCACAATATGAGCTACTATCAAAAACAGCTGGATATTGAGCGTGCGTATGTAAAAAGAAAGTGAAGCTAACTTCAAGTTAATTCGTGTATTTAAGTACCGTCAAATGTGCTCACCATCTTTCTGTTGTCCAAACTCTGGTGACGACCGGCTCTTGAGTTCGTTCTTCTTGTGGCAGAGAAATGATTCCTATTTCCACAGCGAATGGATAGGAATCATAGCGGTGTTCTTTTATACCTTTACAGAGCATCCTATCTTCCTCATTGCTGTAATCTAATATCGTGGATTGATGACAAAACGTCTGCAGTTGGCTCGATTCCTTCGTAGATTAAGGGCTTAACTGCTAAAACAGGGTCGCAACGGGCCAGCTTTACATCAACAGTTACGTAACGGGCATGCTGCCCCTATGCAATTGCAACAGGTTCTTTCCACGGCATTTCCAAACGTGGAGTAGCAACAATGACTTTTCTGCCTATTTTGATGACAAAGACGTATCTTTTCAGGGTCCACAGCTCTACATAAATATCTGCGAGACCTCATAATTCAACTGCCTGTGAGTCTCACTGTTGAACACGTGAATGAGTTAAAGTTGCACTTCCTTTAGCAGTAACCTTACTGCGCATTTACTTACTTTCTCAAAAAATTATGAAAATAGACCTATGAGAGATGCGATTAGAACTTGATACTTGCCGGAAGAGAGTAACATTAAGTGACTGATAACAAGCTTCAGGGTTATTTAGACCACGGTAACAGGAGTTGAAATCTTCATGATCTGTACTCCTTCGTTTTTGGGAAAACATTCTCAGAGACATGAGACAAACTCGGCCAATTTGAAATGCCATCTTAAGAAACAATGATTAGTAGTGTTGGGGAACTGTTCCAATATCAGTTATAGATATCTATTTCAGTTCAGATTTCACTAACATGTCCAATTGTTTTTGACAGGCAAAAACCGATTGATTTACTAGTATCGCCGTTGGACATGCTCAGTGGTGCCAGTGCTGAAGGAAAATTATTTTGAAGGTTAAGTACAGGTGATTTTAAGACAAAAATTGATATTGGAGGATTGTGTATCGAAAAACTGACGAACTTCGTTCAAGGTAGCTTCAAGATTTATCGTTTGCAAAATAAAATCAGAAACTTCGTCAGCACTATACCTCCGCCCATTTTCAAATTGATAAAAAATGGACCACAAACACAAAGAGCTTTTACACTCAGCTGCAACTTAGATATTCTATGCAACAAAGTGACAAGATAACATTTCCCCTTCCTTCAGCAGCCATCTCACTGCGCATGCTCCAAAATGAGTAAAACGGATTTGTGTGGATCCCGACTAGACCTAGATGTTTATAGTTTTAGCATGACTATGAACAGGGAGGTCCTCGGTGATTGATTGCAGACCAAAGGGTCATAAGACCACGAATAACGCAAGTTCCAGTCTATACAAGTCTATTTTCCCTCGCAGTGGCCAAAACAAAACTTCTCTGCGTGCATGGGAGATTTTAGATGTGAATTATGGACCCCAGAGAAATCTGTCGTTAGACTTTTTGAATACCTGCCCAGAATTCATAATTGGTGTTTATTTCAAGAGTAACGCTACTGGACATGCGTGGTGATGTCATTGCTGAAGCAAGTGCAATTGGAAGGTTAACTTCAACTGTATTAAAATCGTCGGCGCGGAAAGAAATAATGAATGATGGAAACATTTCAGCCGAAAGTTCTATCTTTCGCAGGAGGATAGCAGATCAACAGGGCTCATTTTCAGTTTTGTACCTCTTCTGACTTACAAAAACAACAACAAATTTATAAAAACAAATTTATAAAAACATCGAGACGAAGCATCTTGGCCAAAACCATTTAATCTATCTGGATTCTGTTTTTTGAGCAGGAGCGTTATACCACCGTTCATCTCCAAAACAACAAACAAACGTGGACACGCTTGTAATCCACTGTTACAGGTGCAATTACTCGTGTCATTTTCAGTTTTGAACTTGACCTGAAGCAAGTGTAATTCGGAGGTCAAGTTGTAAACTAATAGCATCAACAAAACATAAGTTAACGAGAAATTTATTTCAGGTAAAAAAGTTAGATTTGAAATCATTGTATAAAAACATCGCCATTTCAAGGTAAAGACGTTTCTTTTTAGTTTCAAGTTTTTTTTCCTATGCAGTATCCTTGCATAGCAATCACGACCCCGCAAGTGCCGCTTTAGCAATCACGTAACCGCGCATGTACAGTGCCATTCGCTGGGGATTAATCTGTCTCATCACGTGCGAATAGCTAATAACAAAGCCTTTTGAAAAAGAAAAGGTAGCATTTGTTTGCAGTGTGTAGGACATGCAGATAATTGAATCTTTAGGAGGCTAACAAAGTTGTGCTAACACGCTGGGTTATCTGGGTGCCTCAACACATACAAACAAGCGAACAAGCAAAGCAACAAAAGTATCACCGTAGACTGTAGAACGTTAAGACCCTTACCTAAAATATGAGACCAGGATTCTCTAAATTTAGCCATACAATTTGATATTATCATCAGCGGGGAGACAATAACAAAGAACAAGCTTAAGGAACTGTTGCAATGGCCATGTACTATTAATGATGGTAGAAATGGCTTCTGTGCGCACCACGTTAGGCATGATAAACTCCTCACCTCTTTTAAGTTTGATGGTGCAAGTGCCCCACGATATGTCTTGATAGTAATATGGCCCCATTGTGAACTCTGAGAAGTGGTTCAGCTGACGCTGTTCCTCACGGATTGTGCCGCGAAACTGAATTTCAACCAATAAGTAAATCCACCATGTACCACAGGTTCAAGAGGCCACACAGAGGAAATAATTGCGGAGTCTAGACAATACTTTAGCAGAGGGTGAGAATGGTTTTAAAGATTTTCTTCCGAATATATAGACGAACGAGAACGCATAGGAGCAGAGCTCTTGTACAGCGTCGGCAATGCTGTCAATGCACGCACTGAAACCTCGCACCTCTGGGATCTTGGACATTTCCTCTCGCTGATCTGAAGTCCTGTATTTCACTGTTCCCATCAAACACAAACACGGCTGATAGCTTGGAAGAACTAGGCTAGAATCCCGAGCAAAAAATCATCTTATCACTGCCTTCTTTAGATAGGAAAAGTACAAAATTGAATTACGTGACTGAGTCACTGGTCACGGTGAACTTCAGAATGTGTTGTTATAGATTACGCGCAGTCCCCCCTTTGGGGCGAAGTCCGTCGCGCGAGTAAAAAAAACACATCAGAGATTAAAAGGGAAAAAAAGATGTTAGTGCGCTACCAGGAGCTCTTGGAATGAGGCAAAGTAAGCAATGAGTAAATTTTTTCTTGGTTTATTTTTTTTTCTACCTGCACCACGGACTTCGCTGAAAAGGAGGTACTACTCGTAACCGTAATGCTGTTATCGCCGGTTACACTTAATAAAATCCTGTAGTTTGGTTCTGAAACGTTCTTACAGGCTTGAATAGCCTAAGCTCTCTAAACTCAAATATAAAAGAACAGAAACCAATTTTTCAAAAAAGTACCACGTTGACCGAAAGCTAATCAATGATATCCGAGACGTTTTGTTCACCTTTTTAGTCACGAGACAGAATCATTTGCCGTGATTTAGCCGTTTAAAATGTTTAAAGAATCAATCAGTGTGTTCTAAAATCTCTGCCTTACTATTTTTTCTTTTTAAAGTGGTTACAATCTAAGATTTATGAAGTTACCAATATAAATGGTCGGAGTCTGCTCAACGGACTAATTTGCATAATTCTGCTGTCACGCTAGCAAAATCACCAAAAGTTTGAAGTCACTTAGGCGAAGGAAATTTATAAGTGAAAGATGTTTCTAAATTTCTATGCTTTCGAACATCTTATTAAAAGAAATCAACCGAAGTTTTGAATGGTCTGGTCTGGACTTGAGAAATATTACCCAAGAAAGAAACTTGTACTTTTGACAAATTTCCGAAAGCTGTCTAACGGGTGTTTTTAAATAAATTAGATCACTGGAGTAACTTCATTACAGGGAGGCGCTGAAGGAGCAATCAAAAAATATTTGATTTGCAAAGAGAGTCGTTTTAGCAAATATTCGATTAAGAAAAAAAAATACGGAATTAAATTAACTAGACTCACAGTTCTAAATAAGTTAGTTAATAATCCCACCCTTACTTTACTTAAAGTCGTAAATAACGTCCACCTACCCAGCGTTGGAACTGAATTCATCTTTAGGATGCGAAAAGTCTCCGTTTGATTTTTGGTGTCGATTGTAATATTTCAATGTAATCTTCACCATCAACGTTGATTTTAACTTTGTGCTGAAACACGGTTGAATTCTACGAGAAAAAAGGAGAAACATGAATACTCTAACTTCTTCTGCGAAATGCCTTTTCCTTGTTATTAACTTAACTGGAGAAAGTATCAGAAAGCAAAGAGAAACATTGAAAAATTGGTTGAGACTAAAAAGGAGAATGCAAAGAAAGGAGGTTGGAAAAAAGGCGAAGATTTAGAATTCTATAACTTACGTGAAATTGAACAATAATTTTTGAAGAAATATTAAGACTCAGCAGTTTGTAGAGTCTGAAATTCTCAAGGGATCATGGAAATCTGAATATTTTCAGTCAAAATAGGGACCTAGCCTAATAGCAATAGGAAAAACTGAGAGACTTTTTCAATTGGTTAATTGTTGAGACTGATATTGGTCAGCCAATAAACTTTATGTGAAGCATCTCAATATCAGTTTTCACCCAAAAAATACAGCCATCAGGTCTTGCCATTAATTTTGCTGAACAAAACAAAAGATGATTTGCCGTAGAATAAAAGACTGCCTTCAGGTCAATAAGTTACAAGTTAAGCTTTTCAGCCCATCATAACTGCTGGTTTTACACTGTTACGTAATGAATGAGAGTTATGTCTGCATTTTCCCAGCACTTATTAGAGGTCCAGGGAAGGTGCCCAGGCTCGCAGAGGGTAGTGGGACTGAAGTCGGTGATTTACGGCCGTCAAGAATATGAGACACTGTCACAGTCACACGCGTGACTATCTCGCTTAAGCTTCTTCCTTGCAAGTTTTCCCGCGTTATTGAATAAAGTTTTGTTTTTGCTTGTCTTCATTTTTCGATTTTATTCCTATACCGTTAAGAGTCAGCATTAAATCTATTATTTTCCACTTAAAACCAGAGTGACCGTAGGTCATGAT